GCGCAGCTCCGGGTCCCCCCACGCGGCTCCCGCGCGAATGGAACTGCCTGGACTGCACCACGTGCGCGGAGGAAGGGGGTGGCAGCTGGTGCAGAGCCTCGGTCACGCCCCCTCGGCGTCGGGCAGTAAAGGGCGCGCAAAGGGCACAGCGCCCGGGGCCTGGCGTCCCAGCTGCCCACTTACTGCCTCCGTGACCTTGGGTAAGGACTGCCTCCATCTCCTCGTCTGCGAAGTGAAAATAAGCGACTCCGTGGCCGTTCAAAGAAGCTTCGCCTCCGAGGACTTGTCCTGGGCCCCCGGCCTCGGAATGGGGGAGGGCGTGGGGGTCGGTGTACAAAGAGCAGTCTCACTTTTCTCATCTGCAAAGTGGGCAGACGAGACCTTCGATGACACCTTCGGGAGGAGGGCGGAAGACCAGCGTCTCGGCCTCCTGAGACATCGGAAGGGGTTAATGCTGTCCCCACCCCAGTCCACGTCCCCCTTATGCTCATCGCAAGAGCGAGCCTTGGGCCAGGGGAGTGCCCAGTAGCTGCCCAGGCCATGGATCCCCGCCGCAAAGGGGCGCCCCCCCACCCCGTGCCTGAGCGCATTAGGCCTAGGAAGACTACAACTCCCGGCGTGCCGCGCCCGGGCCGGGTCCTGCCGGTCTGGTCCCTGCAGACCTCGCTCCCAGGGCAGCTCCACCCTGAGCAGGGCTGCTCCAGTTCACCAGGCCCGATTTTCGCAGCTCCCATGGCTCCGCTGCGGAGGACTGGCTAGGCTGTGGCGCGGCTGCGGGCTTCGTTTTTGAAACTTCCACTTGTTGGCAGAACCGCCCTTGAAAGGGGGCTTTAGCGGGAACAAAGGGGGCTTAGGGGTCTGGGAATGGGAAGGAGTGGGTCCACATGGCTGCAGGCTGAGTCTCTGACACCAGGTGCTGTGACTGGGCTGGTTTCTTGGCTATAAAACAGCAATAAAGGACTTTGCACCCTGCAGAGTGACATCAATGACTGGGAAGTTGGACAGGGATGGAACACATTGTCACCGGAGGGCAGGTGTCTGCCCTGCCCAGGTGCCTCAGGTCACCTCTGGCCACACCCTAGAGTGGGCTAGGAGGGGCTCCAGCTGCAGATGGCGCGTCTGCCTAGAGGAATGCCATGCCCCCTGCATACAACTGGCCAGGGTACCCAGGGCCCTTGATGTCGCCTTGTCCCATCTCTGAGCATGTGCTGGGCGCATGTAGACAAGGAGGCAGTGGGTTTTTCTGCTCTTTTTCCTTAAGCACGTGTTTCAGAGTGGCAGTGAAGGACCCCTGGCAGACCTAAGTCCTTAGCCCACACACATCCGCCCATCCCTTGCCCAGTGCTAAGTGCCTTCATGAATTGCATGGTCAGTCCTCACACACCCTGTGAACTGGAGTCTGCAGGTCACCGTCTTACAGGTGGGGTGTCGAGGCTGGAGGAGATGACGAACCTCCAAGGCCCGCACTGCTAAGTCACAGGGAGGGGCTGGGACTCAGGTCTTAGTCCCTTAGTCCCTTAGTCCCACTTTGTGCCTGGCTGCCCGCCACTCCCTGGAGCCAGCCTGGTCGTGGACCTGGACCTGTTACTCAGACCCCTATCATCACACTCAAGTCCAGGGAGCTCACAGGCTGCCCTGTGGCAGGCAAATGGGTGCCCGCTGAGAGGGGCGTGCGTTATCTGGCCACACCTGGCACATCCAGGTGTCCAAAGGTCAGGTCTGGGCAGGCCAGGCCACGGCTGGCAGCGGGAGCAGGGGCTCAGAGCCATCGGCCCCAGCCACAAGTGAGGAGGGGGCAGGGACCTGGGTCGGGAGTCTGGGTGGGGGCTCCTGCCTTTCCTTTCCAGCTAAGCCCCCAACATTGAAGACTGTCGTCCCGGAGAGGCTGTCTCATCTGTGACGGCCAAGTGCGGGACAGACACGGGTACACATACTGCTCCTGCCCCGCACAGCCCCGTCCTGGGTGACCCACCACTCCAGGCCTTGTAGCATGTATTTATGTGTGTGCATGTGTATACATGTATGTGTGTATGTGTCTACATGCATACGTGTACATGTATACGTGTGTGGTCTTGTAGCATGCGTTATGTTCATGTGCCTGTATGTACATGCATTCATGTGGCCTTGTAGCATATGTTATATGTGTGCCTGTGTGTACATGTGTGTGGCCTTGTAGCATGTGTTATGTGCACGTGCATGTATGTACATGTACACGTGTGTGGCCTTGTAGCATGTGTTATGTGTGTGTGCCTGTGTGTACATGTATGCGTGTGTGATTTTAAGTGAGTGCCCTGTGTCGCCCAGGCTGCCTCAGTCTCCTGAGCAGCTGGGGTTCAGGTACAACTGCCGCATCTGGCCACGGCTGATGTGTTTTTTTTTTTTTTTTTTTTGAAGAGGTTTTTGCTATAGGGTGCATGCGCTTGCCAGAAAGACAGACAGAAAGCGAGAAATCACACCCCCCCCAGGGGAGATGGCCACGCTGCAATCCCTTCTCCTCCATTCTCCTCTTGGGATCTTGGGCACGCACGCACAAGTGCCCGGCGGGGGTTTAAGCTGCCATGTCCGGGACTCGAACCGTGGTCAACCACATGGGAGTCCAGCGACATGGCCATTACACTGACTGCTGGTCCCACGGCTGATGTGTTTTGATGGTCTAGTTTAAATCTGGAGGGCTGGGAACAAACTCCCCTGTTAGAGTACGTGGCCACGGCATGACCTGGTACTTGTCTGCCGAGTGTGAATCAGATGTGACCCCTGCCCATGAAGACAGGGCTGCCCAGTGGTGACAACAAGGCAGGGGCTTGTGACTTAAGAGGTTGAGGTTCAGCTCCCGGTCCGCCCTAAGAGCTGGGCTCCATGGTGCACACCTGAGGGCCAGCTAGGCGGGAGGCTGAGGCGGGAGGATTGATGGTGAGGCATGTCTAAGAAAACACCACACACACACACACACACACACACACACACACACGAGAGTTGGGAAATGGTGGGAGCCCAGGGGAGTTGGGGTGTCCCCATGCTGGGAGCAGAGTCTTGATTATCTTCTTTTATCCTCACAAGAATCCCATGAAGTAGGTCACACTGTTTTTGAAATATCTGATACCGAGCTGCAGTGAGGAGGAGGGACTCCGAGAGCTCAGTACGAGGGTAGCCCAGCCAGTTCAGACTCTGGCCTCTCTGTGCCCCTTAGCATCAGGTATGGTGCTGTAGGGACAGAGACCTCCTGTCTGAGGGCAGATTATAGTCAGGATGAGACCAACGTTCCTGCTAACCAGGGGAAAGGGGAATATTTGCTCAGTAGCTGAAGGACCCTGTAGTTGATAATTTGGGGTGTAGCCGATCTGGGTGCTGATACAAAGTCACGAGGAGCCCCAAGCTTCCCACTTCTTAGCTCTGCCTTCCTCAGCCTTCGGACACTCCTCATCCCACTTCACCCTCGTGCCAGCACAGGACCGCTCTCAGGAGCCCAGAGTCACTCTCACCAGGACATCCCAGCAGGGAGGAGAGAGGTTCTCCTCTCACCTGTTCATTTGAGTCCCATTGGTTCTTTTTATTTTTTTAAGGGTTATTTTATTTAACTTTATTATTGTCATTTTTCAGTTTGATCAGAGAGAGACAGAGAAAGAGAGAGAGGGAAAGTGAGAAAGCAAGCTACCAGGTCTGGGACTTGAACCGCGGTCAGCCGTGTAGGGTCCAGTGCCAGTAACCACCACCACCACCTCCTCGTTGGTTCTTACGGACCAGCTTTGGCTCTGTGCTCAAGCCCAGTGCAATTGCCGTGGCCAGGGAGGGCAGCGCTCTGGCCGGCCAGGTCCCCCACGTGCCCGCTGTGGAGTGAGGGAAGGTTCCCAAAGGAAAACGAGGGTATTGTTACCAGGGGCAGGGGAGGGCTGCTGCACACCTGGAACCTCACTGCCCACTGTGGGGGGCACAGGGAAGACTTTCTGGGGTGCACGGTGGTGGGCGGGTGGGGCGAGGTGGAGGAAGATACCTTTCCCGGGTGGCGATGGGGAGGGCACAGGTGAGCACCTGGCCCTGCTGCCTTTCCCTGTGACAGGGCCTGGACCTTGAGGTCAGAGGTGGCTCCGACTCACAGTTCCTCCTCAGGCTCCTCCTCCCTCGCATGGGCCTGATGGTACAGGTCCACCTGTCCCAGGTGACAGCAGGCAGCTGGGAGCTCCTGACACAAAGCACGCAGTAGGTGCTCAGGAAGTGCTGAGTCCAGTGCTTCTGGGAGGCACGTGGGCAGCCTTCCCCAGGACTTCCCTGGGGCCAGAGATATGGTTCCTGGGGTTTGCACGTCCTGACCTCTGGCGTCTCTGGGGCTTACTGAGCGAGTGCCATCTACCTCCTAGCTCCCAGTGGGCAAGGAGAGGGGCAGCGACCCCCCAGGCCACCCGGCTAGAAAGCGGGAGAATGTGACCTTGTGCCTCTCTCCTGTCTGCAGGGAGTGGGTGGGGAAGAGCTGGGGGCTCAGTCCCTGCTGGGAGGCCACCCATCAGGACGGTGTTCAGCAACGAGGGGTGGGTGAGGCTCCTGGGGAGGGCCTCTGTGGGAAGAAATACCCGCAGGCCCTAGTGCGTCACCGCAGCTCAGGGCGCCCTCACTCCTCAGCGTGGACCTCCCAGGGGCTTGTCCCGGAGTCCCCGTGTTTGTCCTAACACTGTTTGGCTGGCTCCCTTCCTGATGTGTCCCCCTCACCTCCACAGGTCACCTGTCATTGAACAGAGGTCCCCCAATGTGGCCCTCCAACTGCTACCCTCCCGCTTGGGCTGCGTCCCTAGTCCCCTGGGCTCCTGGGAGACTGCGAGCCCTGTCACTTCGGTCCCTCCCTCCCACCTCCCTGCCCTCTGGCTTTGGTCAGTGTCTCCGGAGGAGTCTGTCCCCTCCAGGAGGTGCGGTCTCTGGTGGGTTAATGATTGCTCAGGGGAGGTGGAGACAGTGCCAAAGTCTGTCAGCTGCGGCTCCCTGCAGCTCAGACGTGCCACCTGTGCTCATTCACCGCCTCTGCGGCCCCTGTGGGGCACAGGTAGGGACCATGCGGCTCAGCTGCGGCAGGGACGGGGGTGTCCTGGCAGGAGTAGGGAGGGGCAATTGGGGCCAAGGCGAGCTTGGGCGTCTTTAGGGTCCCCACAACTGGTGGTGTGGCTGGACACTGGGTCGGAGAGTCCTGGGGCTGA